CACAAGTATTATACTAATGATTACGAAAATTTAAATCTAGGTAGTTTCGAACCTGCTGAACAACTTTCAATTAATAAAGATAGTCGATTTCATTTGATAAAGGTGCCGAAATTACACTCTGAAGTACTGATCAGATGATTAAAAAAAAATTAAAAGTGCGAAAATTGCTCGTATTCCATAAGCATTACTCTGATTACTATAAATATTTAGGTGTAGGTAATTCTGACCTCCGTGAACAATTTTCTCTTAATAAAGGAAGTCGATTTCATTTGACTAAAATGCCGTAATTACGCTCCAAAATTAATAAATGAAAAAAGCAAATTTAAAATTAATATAATTATAAAAATATGCGCGTACTCCATAATTATTATTCCAATTACTATGAAAATTTAGATTCGAGTAGTTTTGGCATCGTTAAACAACATTTTCTTAATAAAGAAAGTCGATTTCATTTGGCTAAAATGGTAAAATTACACTCCAAAGTTTGACGAAAGTAAAAAGAAAAAATTTAGGAATAAATGTATTATGAATTATATAAAATACCCATATCTTCACAAAATACAGGTAATAAAAACTGTGACAAAAGTATTTAATATGTGCTAATTTGTAAATTTACAAAGTTTTTAAAATTTTTTTAAAGAAAAATTTTTTATATACGTATATATTATAATTTATTTACACAAGTATCATTATACAAAATAAAAATCTCACTTGATTTAAAGATTATCACTGTTATACAAATACATATCTGACTTACCGAAAAATTACTAACAGGCTATACAAAATCAAATATATGACTTATTGGAAAATTATATAATAAGTTTATACAAAACTGGATCCCAGTGTTATATGTATTGTTCAGAGTCCTTCTTCCAACCTGGATCTTGAATTATTTTTCAAGAAAATTGTTAATTCGTGATCCGCAAATAAAGTAGAGAGTCCTATATCAAAAATCGGGGTAATTATATAATAGCGTAGAATCTGACGTCATGGCAAACCAAAGTACTAATTGTTAAAATATAATATAAAAACTAAGTTTATTGCCATCAAATTATGTTATTTAGCTTACTTTTTATTGAAAGTCCGGTAAATTTTTTGAGCACTATAAATGACTTACTTATAAGCTTAAAGGTAAAAAATGCCTTATTTTTAACGTTGCGAATAATGGATTTTTACTTTTAGGCTCATAGGAAAGTTATTTCTAATTATTGAAAATTTTNGACAAAAGTATTTAATATGTGCTAATTTGTAAATTTACAAAGTTTTTAAAATTTTTTTAAAGAAAAATTTTTTATATACGTATATATTATAATTTATTTACACAAGTATCATTATACAAAATAAAAATCTCACTTGATTTAAAGATTATCACTGTTATACAAATACATATCTGATTTACCGAAAAATTACTAACAGGCTATACAAAATCAAACATATGACTTATTGGAAAATTATATAATAAGTTTATACAAAACTGGATCCCAATGTTATATGTATTGTTTGGGGTCCTTGTAAACTGTATTTTTCTTTCTAACTACTGTTAGCTACATGTAAATACTGTCAGGTGTAAAATGATGAAACAGGAAAAATATAAAGTTAATTCTATCTAAAAGATAAAAGAAATAATAATTGACATACAAAAAACACTTTAAGTGTAAACTCTTAATAATTAACCATTATACAATTTACGATTATTACATTTATTACATTTAGATTGATGTTTAGAATCCTTACATCTTTTCAACATTTGTAATGATTTATTGGGAGTCTTTATAAAAAACGTGATTGAGATTGAGATTGAGATTTCATATAGAATTTTCAATCTTAATATGTTAGTAAGATTGAAATTCTATACTAAATTTCAATCTCAATTTCAATCACGTTTTTTGTGAAAACTCCCATTATACCATTGATTTATAAGATTCATATCATATATGATATCATTTCTACTGCATTTACTATATCTATGATCTGTAAATGCTCCACAGGTCAAAATGCTAAAAATTGGCAAAAAAAATGGTATGAAAAGCAATGGCTATTCATGGCTATTCATGGCTATTTTTGGCTGTTTTTGGCTGTTTTTGGCTATTTGTGAATTAACCTATACTATTTGTAAATAGTTTATACAAATTTGCGAATAGTTTATGCAATTCGCACCATTTTTTTGCCTGTTTTTAGTCATTTGATGTATGCTCGTATCATGGCGAAATCATCTTCATCAAAAGTATGATTGAGAAAGATATTTTCAGTTAATTCATTATAAGCACTATGACTATTCACTTTACTATATAGAAGCGCAAGGTCACTTGATTTAATATACTGTTCTGTTAAGATAGCAACTGTAGGTTTCTAAATATAATGTGACAGTCAAAAATGAGTTATTATTTTACCATTATTAAGAAACTTCCATTTATTCATATTATTTTTAATCCCTCTGATTTTATGTTTAGCAAATAACTCCGCTTTTTTAGTCCCAGGAGTTAATTCTGCTTCTTTATAATCTTTATAAATCACTCGATAATTAACTGATTTCTTATATTTAAGGCTAGGTCATTCATAAGATTTTCTACCTCAAAGGCAAGAAATTTGCTTTGTTGGCGTGTGAGACTTTTCTTTAAAAATACTTTTTCCAATGGAACTTTAGGTGGTTTCTGTATTACCTCCTTTTTATACTTTCAACATATTCTTCTATCTTTAAATGCAAACAAATATTATATGGTACATAAAATCTAAAATACCAAGTAGATTGTCTAACTAAAAACCATATATAGGTGGTTGTTTTATTATTTCTAGATGATTCTGATGACAACCAATTAACTATCAATTGATATTTTTTCAGTAATAAAAACCTTATTCTATTAAAGTATTTAGTTTTCATCCCTTTAAATAATGGTAATGTAAGTATTACTGCAATTAGATATTTGAATATACAAAATTTAACATTTGCATTTTTCCTGTCACTAGTAATTTCATATGGAGATTTATATTTCTCTATAATCATACTTGTAACTGCGTGTTATCTTTTTTTAAAGAGTTAAAATCTAATAAGGCGTATGACATGCCTTTATAAGTATTATATAACACATTAGCACCAGTCATCTGTTTAAGTTTTTCAGCCTTTAGATATATAATATTGATGGATAATCTCTTTTTCATGCCGATCATTTTGGGCAATATTAACATCAAAAATGAAGGAAAATTGAATAACTTATATGTTAAAAGTTATAAAAGTTGTTATTAACTATGTTAATAAATATATTTCTGATATCTTCGTTCAGTCAACTTATCGGTATAAGTGAGCCAAGCCTTGCTGTAAATTAACAAAATACCTATAACGTGGTGAGTTTAATACTACTACCAAGTCAGCAAAATAAAAGAAAGAAACTAATATTTCCTCAAAAAATCCCAGGTTTTTTCTGAATATTATAGACAATAAGTCAAAAGTTCTATTTTTACAAGCAAAAATGTATTTTTTCTTATGTAATTTAGTGACAAAGTCACTTTTTGTAAAATTATTTTTTGAAAAATTTTTTGGATGTGGGATTTACCAGAAAGAATTTATTGGTCTAATTTAGCTAATATTATTAGATAAATAAAGGATAAATAAATAAACTTTAAATAATCTTGCTGATTATTTTTCTTGCATCTAATAGATAAAGACAGTGTTGATAACAAGAATATCTTGATAGAGTTCAGTTTTATCATTAAAGAAGCTATCTTGAAGAGTCTTGCACCATTAAATTTAAGAAAGTATTTAATAAGATCATATGTGAATTGACGTAATTAGGCCCTATGGGCAATCACAATTTCTGGAACTATTCTGTGACTTGCTTATTCTAGTATAATTTGCAAGCCAGATCTTTTGAAGTTGATGCCACTTCTAATGTCTGAGATGAGTTCAGTTTGTGTTGAGAATATTTGGTAAGAAGGAATTATTATTGCTACTTAAGATCTTTCTTCTGTTTTACACTTGAAACTTATGTGTAAATGTAACTTTTTTGCATAATAAAGAAGAAGGTGGTGGTGGTGGAACTCACAATATTTGAGACATCATAAAGTCACACACCACTAAATGCTGTTATTTTACCATTGTGGTGCTAGTAATGAAGTATACAAGAGGAAACATCAAGGATGGAAGAAGTCTGAGTGGCAGTAACAAACATTAAATGAAAAAAAAAACAAATATTTTGCAAAAGATTACCGTATTCTTCTGTTTTTAAGCACCACCTTTTTAGGAGAAAATTTTTGTAAAAGTTTAGGGTGGTACTTAAAATCAGAAGTTTTTTTTTTTACACTTTTTTTTTGCGCTTTTAGTTATTTTTGTAATGCAATGGATGGGTAAGAAGATGATTTGTTTGGCAAGATGAAAAAGAGGAGGAAATTGATGAAAATGAAAGGGAAATTGTAGATATAGATAGTGATTCAGCTGATGAATTAGCTGAATTGTAAAATGATGCATCATAAAAATAAAATTTATTTTGAATAAAATATAAAAAAATTTTCAAATTTGAGGTGGTGCTTATTTTTGTTTTTCAAGTTTTTTTGGCAAAAGTTGAGGTGGTGCTTAAATTCGGGTGGTGCTTAAAAACGGAAGAATACGGTAATTGAATTCACTTTTTGAAAGATAGAAATTAAATAAATAATCAGGGTTAATCAAATTTATTAGTTATTTCTAAAAGCATGGTGTTACAATGGTTAATATTACTGGTTAATTAAGATAAATCTTAGAGTATCTTAATTTATTATCTGTTGAGATAAAGCTCTACAAATTTGGGCCAATAATATGAAAATCATCTGAGTTTAAATGCTTATAACTTTCTATGTAGATATTTTTTTTGGAAATCTGGCCAGTGATTTAATAGTATTCATCATGAAGAATAAATTTATTATTTTTAATGTATTTGAAGTGTTACAATTATTGTCTAGTATAGATATAGTATAAGGTTGACCTTTCATATTTTGTATCATACCCCGACAAAAAATTTTTTTTTTTAATATAAAAAATTATCTACGTGAGACATCTTCCCGATTTATAATTTTTCAGTGAATTTATCCAGTCAAATATTAATAGAACAAAATGAAATGAAAGAATTGGTCAGCGAAACCAAGAAAGAATAGATGATTTAAAATACCCTGGTTATTAAGATGAGAGCTGATAGAAGAATCATCAAAAAAAAATTGGATATTAAAATCCATCTTACTAAGAGAGGAATATCAGGACACAGAAACATAAAGAAAATTAATTAACATGGCTCGTTTTTTATAACTAGATTGTTGGTTAATCTTATGGTTTCGATTAAATGATTTATTTCGCGACAAATGAAATAATGTATGCACAACTTTAACATCAAAGGTTTAAATTATGTTTGGCGTTCGAGTTGTTTTATTAAAAATTAAGCAACAAAAGGGCGATTTTAATAAATTAGTTTATTACAAAATTATTATGTTTATCTTTATTTAAGAACAACAAATGAAGCCAGAAAGAAGTTAAAAATACTAAAGAAAAGAACAAAAGTTTATTTAGTGACATAAAAAAGTTAATGAAAACGAAAATTTCTTATCACTTACCAAACTTTTAGCAAATACAATGTCACGTTTAATACGTTGTTGAGCTTCTTCCATTTTATTAAATAATGAAGAATCCCCAATAATTCTAGCGGCACTTTTAACTTCTCTGCAAGTTTCATCTAATCTTGTAATGCATCTTACGATAGATCCTTCTGATACATCAGTTAATTCTTTAATCTTTATAAATTCCTAATGATTAAAAATCAAAGGTTAATATAAAAGTTATGATGTTTATTATGTTTGTGTGATAAAATCATTAATTATTACCGTTTTTTTAGCCCATTCATGAACAACTTCAACAAGTCCATATTTTATATGCTTATGTCTAATATTTTTAATTTCATCATCGACATCTTTAGAATTTTTAGGATCTTTAGGATCTTTAGGATTTTTAGGATCCCTAGGATCTCTAAAATTTTTAGAATCTTTAGGATCTTTAGAATTTCTATCATTAAAATCTCTAAAATCTTCGTCTTCAGAAGGGGAAATGCCAAATTCAAGCTGTACATTATCAACACGACATGCAATATCATATATAGTTTTTAATCCCTATAAATTAATTTAATTGTATTATTATTCTAAAATTGTATGATATTATAATTAACTTTATCATAATACATACTTTCTTTAACCTTGGTGTAAGGTTTGGCGGGGCAACACTTTTATTTTTCTCTTGGAATATGAAACATGATAACAAAGCAACAATCTCCTCAGCTTCATAATCTGCTAAAACATTTTCAAATATTAATTCGGTAACAATCAATTCGTCGGCTGAATTGATCTAAGTTAATTAATTAGACATGTTAATATATTTATTCTCTATATTCAACTATAACGTTAGAAATGATATGATTTTACCCCACATGCAACACGTCCTTTTAGCTGTAAGATACGATCCTCATCAATATAATTGAGTTTTTGTAATACACCTATTCTTTGTTCAAAATCCGGGTATAATTCTAGATTTTGTTCTGATATAGTATTTTTTAAATCATCCAAGTTTCTTTTAAGTAATCGTTCTTTATGTATATTTTTATACTTAAAACATAAAAATAAAATAAACCAAAATAAAATAAAAATAAGTAAAATGAGATATTAAACCCATAAAACAATATAATATAATATACAATATTATTTACATGTTCAATAAACTCTGTACACATTATACACTGAAATAAAATTAATTTTTCCATTAACTTATCTCTTTCTTCCAAGTTAATTCTAAAATCCAACTCAGATATTCTTGACCAATCATATTCAATTATTCTGCCTATAGAAATTCATTAAAAGTTAATTCCAATACAAGTTGAATTTTGTAAAAATGTGATCTTTTCTTACCTTTTTGTGTTGTATCTGCATACCGCAATAACTCTTGAGATATTCTAGAAATTTCACCTTTATCACCCTTATCAATATTATCGGAGTTTATCTATAATTTAAATTTATATTTAAGTAAGTAATATCACAATATGAAATGATAAATAGCAGAGCATACTTTGATAGAAGATTTCGTTATAAAAGCAATATCTCTGTAAGGTATAGAATCTATTTTGTGTGTATATGAATTTGGATTAGGAATAGATAACTTTGTGACAGGAAGCGGTGAACTCTCTAGTTGGATAATAGGATACGAATTTATTCAATTAGGGTTTAGTTAAATCTTAAAATTACTTAGATAAATAGAAGGCTAACCTCGTTCAGACATGTTGTTATCCTTGTCTAAAAGCGTAAAGACTTTATATGTTTTGTCATCAGGAACAATTTTAGAGCCTGCTGATGCCAAAAGAGTCTTATTTTTAGGTGGTTGCCTCAATATAACAGCCGCTACATTCCTATAAGCCTATATGACCATTGATAGACATATTATATATATTCACGTACAATTTATGCGTTAAAATATATGGAAATAAATTAACTTACGCCGTTATTAATAATAACTATTCTTCCCGGACTTAAAGCTTTATATACTAGGTGCGAATTGGACGAATTCATGAGTTTATTATAAAGAGAAGAAGTCAATCTAACAATATCCGCCGAAACATCATAATAATCATTTATATCTCGAGTACATATAGAGCATTCAAGTTTTTGAAATGTGCTAAGCCTGTTTTCACTCTGCCATTTTAACATATTTGTAAGTCAACATAATATTTGCATAATGAATAAGAGAATAACTACTATTGATAAACTCACTTCCGCAAAACTTTTTTCATGCATCGGCAACATTTTCTGACTTTTATTCTCAGAAAAACTTCGTTTAATCATGTCTTCAACTTGCAAGGCCTCAACACGTAATAAATTAAGTATCATATTATAAGTGAGACGAAATTTGGACTCCAATTTCGTAGGCTTACCCAATATCATCTCATCAAGTAAAGATGGCTGTGAAAAAAAATATATTAAAATTTGCATTAATTTAGATTGTTATTAAAACAAATAATAGATTTTCTACCCACATTAGGAACTTCGCCATTTTTAGGAGTAATAATGACATAACCAAATTTATCTATATCACGTCTTCCCGCTCGTCCAGACATTTGTGTATATTCTCCCGGCAACAAATCACGAAAATTTTTTCCATCATGTTTTCTTATTTCAGAAAATACAACTGTACGTGCCGGCATATTTATACCCTATCGAGTTAAAATGTTTTAAACAGCGTAAAGCAAAATTGCAATCTTTTTTTTGAAAAGAATTCAAGTTACCATAGCGAAAGTTTCTGTGGCAAAAAGAACTTTAACCAGCTTTCTTCCAAATAGGATCTCTACCATCTATTTTAAGTAGACTATATTTATTAAATCTTCCTTCAATTACTAATAGTAAGCATCTTTACAATACTAACCTCTTTAATGATTGGAAGTAATCCACCATGATGTACAGCAATACCTCTTTTCAATAATTCTCTAATTCTCAATACTTGAGGTAAACTCTTGTCAGATTCTAACATTAAAGAACAAACGATACATTACCATTAGTTTCTCATTTTCCTCAAAATTGAAATTAAATTTTTACAAAACTACAATTTTTATCCGAGTCTTACCGTTTAGACGAGTCAAACTTTTCTCGATAAAAACGTGTATCTCACTTTTCTCGGAGTTAGTACAAAGATCCAAATTACTGAGAGCCGCAGCAAAATCATCACATCTCTTTTTCGAGAAAGTAAAATTTATTACTGGCAATAAATCTCTCTTTTTCAATAAATTAATAATATTTGTCCATAAATTTTTATTTTGCTTTAAGATTGAAAGTATTTATTATTAGTAAATTATTGAATATTATAAAAATAAAAAAATCTCAGATGTAAAAAAAAATACCTGTTGCTGAGCTCTAGGATCTCCCCCACCCCCACCTCTACCTCTTTGCCTGGTACCATTGCGACCACTTCCACGTCCACGTCCTCCACGTCCTCCACGTCCTCCACGGGCGTCACTAGCATTTCCTTTCGATTCTTTCTCTTTGTTTAATGCATTTTGAGCTTTCTTCCATCTGTAATAATTTAAAAGTCAGATATCTAAAACATTTATAAGCTTTCCCTACGTGGTGGTATACGTACTCTTGATCTGAGAAGACTTTTTTCGCATCAACAATTTTATAAAGTTCATTTTCAGCATATAAATAATGTTCAAGTGGTACGGGACGTTTATATGTACTAATTACATAAATTTCTTTCTTTTTTGTTCGCCTATTTAAATTAATTTACAATTAGAGTTGAAAAAAACAAATTTTTCTTAGATCGTAAAATATCACAATGAATATTATACCCAATCCAATCAGCAAATTCTTTTGTATTCGGTACAGTAGCCGATAAAAGAACAAGATTTACGTGAGCAGGTAACATGATAATAACTTCTTCCCATACCACACCACGCTATGTAAAAATATACAATCGAATACATTAATATGACTAATATCAATCTTTAACTAAAATAGATTTTTACCTCTGAATCATTAATATAATGAACTTCATCAAATATAACAAATTCGACATCTCTGATCAAGTCGGCTCCTTTATATAACATTGACCTTAAAATTTCTGTTGTCATAATCAAACAAGAAGCTTCAGGTCGAATTTGTATATCTCCTGTTAATATACCAACATCATCAAACTTAGTTTTAAAATCACTATATTTTTGATTTGAGAGAGCCTTAATCGGGGATGTATATATAGTTCTAAAAAAGAAAGAGGACTTAATATCAATGGTTGTGTAAGAATAATATAAATGTATTGTATTAAGAACTACCGTGTCATATGTTTTGAAGCTAAAGATATAGCATATTCAGCGACTGCAGTTTTACCGGCTGAAGTATGAGCAGCCACAAATACTGAATCCCCATTTTCCAGATGGTAAATTGCTTGTTTTTGAAATATATCCAATTCAAATTTGAACTATAATTGAAAATATAAGTCAATATTAACTTCATTTTTGTTTTTTTTTTGTTGTTTCTCGTTACTCAATATACATACCTCATAAGCAAGCTCTGGAACAAGTTCTTTAAAATTCTCCATATCCATTTTTACCTCATGAGCCCACTCTTGCTTTCGAGAATTTGCTTTACTTACTTTACTTGCTACACTTGAGCCTTCAAGTGGAGGCGGCTGAAAGTAAATGAATATATTATACATGGCAACTTTTGAATATTTATTATACAACACTAAGACATGATTTTCATACCTGAGTTGGTAAAAGGTTATCAACAGAGTCTTCGTCTTTTATATCTTTACTTGTTACTTCTGTTTCTTCATTTTTCTCCACTTTCACGAGTTCAATATCCTATTTAGGTAAAACAATATATTATTAATTCAATATTATTAAACATTTAACATATCTTGCAATAGCGTGTTATCCTAACTTCTTGTACTTTATTATCCCGAACATCTTCCGTTTCATACAAAGGTTCAAGGAATTCGGTCAGTTCATCCTCGTCATGAGTAATCATATCAGTAATATTTAATCCCACATATTTATTTGTAGATCGAATTTGACGGTCTTTTTCATCTATTGAGTGTACGTTAAATTAAAAGATTCGGCGTGTCTAAACATATTATGAACTATTGCAACAATTAAAATTTTTAGAATTAAAAAAGTTGTCCATCTAGTACCTTCAAATATTAAACCACGGTCAAATCCTGGAGGTATCGATAAAATTTCAACTTGATAAAGTTCAAATTGAACGAAAAAGTATATATGTGTATTTAAATTTAATGGGAAAAAAAACGTAATATTATATTATATAACGCTTTAATAAAAGAAAATTCTCTTACGTTACATCATATTATAGAATAATACAAACCATCTTCGAAACTCAACGGAATTTCCTTATCAATAATATCATTTATCACTTCTGCGTCAACCATCACTTCAGGTTCCAATCCACCTAGAAAAAACGATTTTAGTCAAAATGTTTTTATTTAAACTAATATAATTTAAATAGTTCATACCAGGAGTGAATGGAAATTGACTAGAAGCTCCTCTGACAAAATGATTTATAGATCCAGGTTCACGTAATAATGATGTTGAATTTTTGACAGTCAAATTCAAATCAGTAACCACAACCTTTAACCACGAACAAATTAATTAGAATCTTAAAAAGTAACTTTTTTTCAAGCTTCAAAATATATAAATATATGCAGTTACTTCTTTATATCCAATAATTTTTCCATCAGGACCATCTCGAGCAATTTCCAAAGTAGTTCGTGGTTTTGATGGTTCCAATACAGTTAATGAAATAAAATCGGGCTCACGTTCCAATAATCTTATAAAGAAATATTTAAATAAACAGAATTTCTGTCATATTTTAAATATATTCATTAAAACAATTACTAACTGTTGACATTTGAATAACCACGAAGTTGGGAATGAAGTACGAGGTATTAAATATCTTTCTTCTATGTCTCGTTGTACTTCTTCTCGTGACAAGGGTCTTCCAAGTCCAACTGGTAGCTAGTTAAACAGAACTTAACAATAAATTAACTCTAATAATGAGATATAATTAAAATTATACTGTTAATACATACTACAAGTAATTCCTCATTCAAAATATCATTTGTGCTAACTGGAATATTATTTAAATAACTAATTAGGAAAAATATACACTAAAGAAAACGACGAAATTAAAAAACAAAAGGGTTTAATGATTAAACCTGATACTGCAATATCATCCATTTGCTTAATTCGTGTTAATAAGACAGAACTGAAAATAATAGTTTTGGATTTCAAGCCCCCCATTATTTTACGATAATTTATCCGGCCATTATACCCGATATAGATAATCCTATCAAGTCGATCACGAATTTGTTTTTATTTTTTCTTTTCCATTTTATTTTATGTCGAGTACAAGAAAAACTTTCATATAAACCTTTTGTATAATAAGTATTTTTTACATTCCCTGCAATTTTACTTATGTATTTTTTAGTTTACAAACTGTCTGTACTGTCTGTACATTTTATAGGGAGTTATTGTCTGTATTCTCCAGCGGAAAATGAAACGTGATGGTGCTTTAAATAACCCTAGCTCTTGGTATTAACTTTATTACGAATAATAATGAGGCATTTATATCGTAGTATCACGTGATTAATTAAAAACATTATATAATTTGAACTATGCATAGTTTTCAGTTTCTATATCGGAATCATTTTCATTACTAATTGTAAGACTGTCATTCAAAGGATTAGTAGAATTATTAAAAATTTGAGTTTGTTGAAGTGGTGGAATTATAGAAGGATAAATAGCCGAATTAATATTTGAACTATTAAAACTAATTGGTTGATTAGGTGACCAAGGAATACACAATAGTGGAGTTTCGACTGTCAAATTTACAGCACCATATTGATATGGAACAAAAGTGCTAGTAGATGGTATAATATTATCATTCACATATATTTGATCGTTATTTAATGCGCCGCCTAAAAGTGTACTTCCTAACGAACTTCCTCCAATAATGCCAGTTTGATAATAAAGTTGATAATTCGGTTGTCGTTGATCCGTTTGAGCCAATAAAAATTGTTTCGATAGATATTGTATTGGTTGTTGTTCATTTCTCTTTTTTTGAATTTTTTTTGAATAATTTCTATTTATCTTTGGCATCTTTTCCGAATTTAAAATATCTTCTCCAGGCTGAAGGTATCGAAGTTCTTCAAACGCCCGAGGAGGTAAAGATGATTCTGGTGAAATGACGGCATCTTCATAAATAATCATATGTTGATATTCTTCGTTAAATTTAATGCTTAGGGTTTTCTTTAATAAACCATCTTTCCTCAATAAAAACGTTCCTTTGCTACATTGATGTACTTTAAGTCCTTCAGTGGTGATTCGTTTTTGTAACAAATCGTCCAAAGGTTCATGACGTTTGATGTTTAGATCACGTGTTGCTAATTCACGATAAACTAGGAAATCTTTGATAATCCTACTTGGGCTCCATAATCTCCCATCTGTCCATCGTTTTATTCCTGATTCAATTTCATCAAACACATAACTAGGAGAGAAAAAAAAGAAATATTTTTTAAAAAAAGTAACTACAAAGTTCTTACGATAAAATACTTACACTTTTCCACCACGTAATTCTTCTTTCTCCTTCTCCAGCAATCGACGTGTGGTCTTATGAAGGATTCCCTGCCGGCACGCTTCTATTATATAATAAAAAAATTACGTAACTTGGCGATTGGGAACAATTTATTTATTTTAAACTTACCAAAAATAACCAATGCATCATTTAAAGTTTCAACTCTCCCTGGAAAGTAGTCAAATGTGAAAACAGTCTTCTTTTTAAATAAATTACGCGAGTATAAGTTCGAACGATTAATTAACGAACCTCGATAAGTTTCCATTTTTTTTTCTGGAGAAAAAAAGGTGCAAAAAAGGAGATTAAAAGATTTAAAATAAACAAGAAAATTTCTGTGATTATTTTATACTTTTTTTTTGTATCATGAAAAAAAAAAGAGTCTAAATAGACTTCTTCAAGTGTAAAAAAAAAGTTTGATAAAGTCTATCTAGATCACACATATTTGATTAATAAGTGAGAATTATATTTTTTAATACATCAACGAAAATATATAACACTAAATGTATATATGTCAAGATTTATGATTAACTATAAATCACTTTCAGCCATATGTGACAAAATAAGATAAATTTATCGTAAACATTTTATTAACATTTTATCAATTATATAATTAAATTAATTAACTACAAACCACTTTATAATTAAATGATCAATTAATCAATTATCTATAAATAGTCCTACTCAAAATATAACGAAGTTTTATATTTATTCATTTATTTAACATTTCACGTTGTTTAATCTCCAATTGTCTACGTTTATTAAAATATTCGACCTTTTACGAATTCAAATTTGAATTATACCAATTATATCATCATTCAATGATTAAATTATATATAAATTTAAATTAAAATTATAAATATTAATGAATAATAAAATCATCAAAATAATTAAAGTTTCTTCGATTTTATCTTCACTTACCCAACTTGTAATACAAGATTTTTCATATTCTTCCTTCTTTTTCCAACAATTAAATTTTTTTACCAATTTTTGCATGTTTTCATCATTTTGTACTGAAACTGGGTCAACAAATAATTTATCATCATTATTCGAATTATTGATATTATCTAAACATTCAAAATATTCATCTCGTAATTTCCAACAGAGATCTCTTTGGGAGCGTAAAGGTGGTATTGATTGAGTGTTTGTTGATGAAGTCATTTTATTTTATGAAAACAAATTTGAGTATGTAATGTGTGAAATTAAAAATTTTTTTTTTGACTCTGCTTTTATTAAAGATCAGCGATTTGTTGATATTCACGTGATGAGTACTTCATTAATGGTATTAACGAAGAATCAACTGCGCACGTAAGAAGCAATCACGCATGTGTATTACTTTCCACGCTATAGGTCATAAGAACACTAGATATCGTTCATTAATTATGGCAAAATATCACCTAGGAAAGCTGCAAGACACTTTCTGAGAGACCTCGCATTCTCCAAGTAGTTTTATAATTAATAATCCACAGACTTCTTCATTTCGAGATCGTTGAACAATTCATGGGGAGATCTCCAGTATTGATGAATAACAACTCAATATTTTGATATTTTCACGGAGAACCGAATTTCTTATTCTTGCATAGCACGTAATTCTAAAAAAAACCAAATTTTAGTAAAAATTTTTTTGATTGTAATGAAATAATATATGTAATGGTTTCTTTATTTTGGTCTCCGCAGCTTCAATGTGGTTCTGTCTTCGTTCCACTCTAGTTAACTTATGATTAATAGATGAAAGTTGTCTTAGAATCAATTTTATATATTACTATAAATTTGAAGAAGTTTTATTCAAGTGTAATGGAATTACATAGAATAAAAATGAAAATTGATAATTCAATTGGAAGATTTAAATGTTATAAACAACAGATATTCATATTGATTACAAATACTGTATAATTTTTTAGTCTTAAATGAATTATTTAATAAAATCAAATAGTTAATAAAAGGAAGAACTAATGTTTTAATGGCTTTAATTTACCATATATAAGCAACCTTTTTTTATTATAGGATTGCCTATTTTCAAATACAACTATTTTTCAATATTACTAATAATCATCTGATTTTTTTGTATTATCATTTAGCCACATAGAACATCCTATCCATTTATTTTTATGCAGACATACAATAATCCATATATGATTATACGATAATTAAAGTACATACTAATGAATATATTACTTTATGTAATTAACTACTATAATTATTAAAATAAATGTTAATATTAACATTTTGAGTACTGGATCCTTTAATTAGATTATGTATTTGTTGCAATTGAGGTGTAACTTCTTGAGAGTTTAAAGAACTAATAAACTTTTTTTAAACTTTTACATATAATTTTTTTTAAAACTAATATATAAACTTTTTTAACTCTCAATATGAACTAAAAAAAACTAAATAATAATATAATTATTGTATGTGATATACTTAACAATAAGATAAAATGGCTGTGCCATTTTATTTTATTATCAAGTATACTCCATAGTCCATACAATAATATGTAAGTATAATATGACCTTTATCTCATATGTAAACCTGATTTAAACTTACTTTATTTTCTATTTTTACAAGAAAAAATGCCACAAAAGTATAAAATAAGTTAAATATAAAAAGTTGTTAGATGGACTTTATACCTAATAAGATAAAAATAAAAGTTGTTAATTATGCAAAACAATATAGCAAAAGTGCAAAACCTTCAGCATGCTAAAATAAGCAATATATAATAATTAAATTAAGCAATTTTGAAGAAAATTTCTGATGAAATTATTATTAATTCTTTTAAAAATATGGTATAACAATTTTATCAGTAAATTCTAATAAAGATAGTGAAAAATCAGAAATTAATAAAGAGTTGAAAACAGAAATTAAAAATTAATGAAAAACATAAATTATTAATAAAAATTAATATCATTTATAGTATACTAATTATAGTTTACAAAATATAGATTATTAAAAAAAAAAAAAAAAAAATTATAGATTACAAAAAAAAATAACAAATTAGTGTAATAATTATAATATTTAAGAATAATAATGTTTAATTACTATATTTATTATTTAGATAGTTAAATTATATATATTAGTTACTTTATTACTAGTTAATTAAATTAAACTATTAAAGACATTAACAGAAGCTGTCAAAATGGTATATTGTGCATATAGATTTTACACACTGTAAGAAACATTTTTTTTATTATAATTAATTTAAAAAATGGTAAGAAACGTTTTTTTTTTATTATAATTTTAAAAAACATTAAGAAAATGTTTCTTAACGTTTTTTTATTATAATTAATATTTTTTTATTATAATTATTTTTTTATTATTTTTTATTATAATTAATATTTTTTTTTTTATTATAATGTTTTATTATAATTAATTAAAATAACATTTTTTTTAAATGGCTAACTAAAAAATTATTTTTTTTTGAACGGGTTTAGTTAATATACTGTATTTTTCCAAAATTAGTCACTTCTTTTTTACAAGGATTTTGATTAAAAAACTTGGGAAGGTGCTTAATTTTTACTAGTATTTTATATAAAAATCTTTTTATCAAAGTTCGAAAAGTTGGTAGAGGTGCTTAATTTCAGAAATGACTAATTTTGAAAAAATACGGTAACTATTATTTGATAACAGACTAGGTAAATTTTAATCTAATCTGTTTTGATCTATTTAACTCATTAATAATTTTATTTATTTTATTAAATAATAAATATAAGAATAAGTTTATGTAATGTTTGTATAATTTCAGATTGTATAACATTTATGTGTGATTTCTTTTTTTTTCTTTAAAATTTCTTCAGTTACAATATACAATGGTAAAAAATAAAAGAAACAATAAGCATAATTAAATTTACATCATATACAGTCAACTCCCTCTATAGTCACTTCCATTATAGTCACATTCTACTATATAGTTATACCAGTTAAATGTTCAAAACACTTTATTATTAAAATCTATCCTATATAATCACAATCTATCTATAGTTATTATCACACCTATCCTCAAAAATCTTATATTAAAAAGAACCGTTTATAATTACAGTTATATAAAGAACATATTAAATAACTTAATATCTAATAATTGTACAACGCAAAGATGTACCATAGCTTGTTAGAATTATCTTACTGAAATGAATCAAATGGTAATAGTTTTATCCTTTTACTTTGCTAGTATTTACTTTGCTAGTATTTACGATTAGGTCTCCCTTTACCTCTTATGAGACATCATCAGACCAGTATTTTATCATCCTTAAGGGATAACTATTCAACTGAGTACTTAATTCCTTAGGTAGACAGCATCATATATGAGGACTTCCTCCATTGAGCCACTTTTAAGGCTGATCTGAAGCTAAAAATATGCTGCCTACTCATTCTTTACCCATTGCATGATACTAGTACTCAATTTATTTTACAACCTTTAGAAAGCACCTACTCTCATGGAGGACTTTTGACAGGTAACATTAACCATCTAGTATCCTCCCATACTACCATTTTAGGTATAAGGTTTCACTCAAAGGCCACTATAGCCTGTGATTACCCAGTATTGATAGTACAGTTATGAACCTTAAGTGGTATACTTTATAGTGACTATTCAGACAGAAAGTAGCAGGCATCTGTTCAGAATCACCCCTTATGGTAAGCATCAAATACCAGGGATCACTGACCAGGATCTAAAGAATAAGAAATTGAATTCATAACCATGCTACCTATTCTGTACATAAATATCCCTTTGTGGTTTATCACCTATTAGAAGGCTAAAGGTCTATACTGAAACTACCACAATGTAAGACACCTGCATTGGCTGCTATATGTGTTGAGATGAAGAAGGAACTAGGATAACCATTTGGCCATATTGGATCCAGGTGATATCATAAAATGACTACCCAAACAAGAAGTCCACCCTAAGATATATATTTAATAACCTCAAAGACAGAACTGCACACATACCAATGGCTTTATAGGGAACATTAGAAGGACACTATAACCTTTAGTTGAAATGTGCAGTCTAACTGTATACACTAATTCACTATGATGCAATCTAACTATACTAATCTCTATATCTTCATGTTATTAGTTATAGTATCTGCAGTAAAATTTGTTTAATTTTCATGATCAGTGGAATTGAACCTGTAACTTCATCATACTCAGACTATATGAGGGAGTGCCACCTTAATGACTGCACTAGGGTGATCAGCCCTAAAGTTATTCAATGAAATGTTTAATATTGGCATTATAATATTTCTTAATTTACGTTTACTGTGCCATTTAACATTTTGCTAAATTTCTCAGTATCTAGTGATTATAAAAAGACGATTAATAGCTTGTTGGAATCGTTTCATCAAGATGAATCGAATGGTAGTAAGATTGTCTCTCTAGGATCAATATTGGCAGAGTTATTACACAAAAATCATTAATATTTTTTAATTTCAAAAATTAATCTAGTAATTGGATTTTGATGTATTTTATACCATTAGAACTGTCTCATCAAGACGAATTGAATAGCGGTAAGATCATCTCTCTACAATTAATATTGGTAGAATTACGATACAATAAAGTTTTAAGTATAATTCTGGCTAAAATTTATGTTAATTTTTGGCCGGAATTATAATATACAAATATAAGAAATTTTTTATATAGTCACATCTCTTTATAATCACCAAATATAGGCTGTTTCAAATGTGTGACTATAAAAAGAATTGACTGTATTTGCAATAATTACAACTAATAATTATAGTAATAACTAATAAACAATTATAATTTAAAATAATATTATAATAGTTCTAAAGAATAAGATAATGCAAAGTGTTCTCGTCAAGAAGAAATAAATAATGAAATAAATAATGAAATAAATAATGATGTAATTGATGAAAAAGAATCAGAAAAAGAAATCAATGATCATAAAAAAAATGAAAAAAGAAAAAAATTTGAGGTATTAGGTTCTAAATTAAATAATAAAAATAAAAATAATAATGAAAGAAGTTTGTATAGATCTATTTTGAAAAATATAAGGATAATAAAAATGTAATATGAGCAAAGTGTCACTACTATAGGTATGTGTATAATTTTATAAATAAGTAATTGTAATTTTTACAAAATTTATTGTATATTAAATCTTAAATATTTAATTAGTTATAAAAAGTATAAAATACAGATTCAGGTGGTTCAACAGGCAATTTAAATCACCATTTAAAAGTACATTTAGACAAA